TTGTCACTATATCTACAATTACTGTCACTATTATTAGTTAGTGACAAAATAAATGTTTGTCACTAGTTGTCATTATAGTTAGTGTCACTAAAAGTTTCAGTGACAATTTTGTGTATTTATCACTACCCGTAGGCCTTAGTGACGTACAGTTATAAAGAACAATTGTGACAAAATACAGTGTGTGATAAATATGTGACAATTATGCGAACAATATATAACAATATGTGGTCTATTCGAATAACTCTTCATTACAAAAATACGAAGTTATTTAAGTTATATATGTTTAGTAAAATTAGCTGGTAGGTTATAAGAGCGTGTTTGGTAAGATTCATAAGCTAATTCATATAGCTTGTTTGGCTAGCTTATAAGTTTTCTATATACAAATAAGTTTTGTTTGGGAAGACGAGTTTTTTCAAAACAGCTCAAGCTTATCTCATAAGCTTATTTTGGTAGCTTTTCAAATAAGTACGTTGAATTTTTTTTTATTTCAGTTGGTTTATCAGCTAATTTTACCTAACAATTTATATTATCAACTACATTTAATTTTCAGCCATAAGCTATTAGTTATAAACTCGAAATTCACTTATAAACTATTAGCTATTAACTTGCTTATAGCTACTTTTACAATAACCTAGCCAAGTGAATTTAAAGCTTATAGCTTATGGGTTATGTCTTAAAAGATAGTTAATTTAATAAAAGTGTTTGGCAAAGTTAACTAATAAAAAAACTGAAATAAAAATTTAGGACTTATTTATAAAGCTACCCAAAATTAATAAGTTAACCAGAAGTTATTTGACTCATTAATTTTGATAATAGAACTAAACTCGAGCTTGATATATAACTCATTTAGTTAATGAATCAAGCTCGGCTCAAAACTCGAGCATCAAAAGTTCGATCTCGACTCTATTCATTTACAATATTGTACTTGTATATGGATTGTACTTGTGTAAACATATGTATTACGAAGAAAAAATATAAATAAATAAAAACAAAGAAAAAAACAGCTGGTGATACTGATATCCCGTCTTGCATGGGCTCCTGAAAACGCGTTTTCAGTTCGCTTCTCATTTTATATTACTAAGGCTGAGGTAACTAATTAAAATATAAATTTATTTTACGATGAAAAATTCGCAGGATAACAGCATTATGGGCCATGTATCATGTATGGGCCATAGGCCCATGGCCCAATGGGATGTGATCCGACTTTCCGACATTTTATTTTTCAAATTGTGTTTCTTTTATTTTTTATTTTGTCTTCCATTTTCATTTGCTTAGCCCACGGTAATTTAATAGAGAAAAATCAATCACTGGCTGCATGTAAATTAACGTGACGTAAGATTTATCCGCATGATGTAACAATGCCGCGTCTACGATAAATTATTTCAACAATAATGCTTACATATTCACTGCCTGCGCATGTTATATGTCCACCGCTTACGTGACATCCACACATTGGTGATATTAATATATTCAAAAAAATCCATCACCAATGTGTGCATACCACATAAACGGTAGACATATTAACATGTGTCCACCGTGGATAAGAGAACGTTACTCATTAATTACTCATTATTTCAAATACTATAAGCAGTGTACGAAAACTCGGGCTAGGCGGCCGCCTAGGCGCCGCCTAGGCGCTCGGCGCCGGTCCGCCGCCAACGATTTGGCCAAATCGGCAATGAAAATCGGCCAGGCG